CTCAAGTTGTGCCAGGGCAGGGTGAGGTTGGGCATGGGGAACAATTCCTTCCCCTTGGGGCTGTCAGGCACTGGAAGGGGCTGCCCAAGGAAGGGGTCGAGTCCCCATCCCTGGAGGGATTTAACAGCCGGGCAGATGAGGTGCTGAGGGCCAGGGTTTGGGGGTGGGATGGTAGGGTTAGGGGAATGGTTGGACTTGATGATCTTAAAGGTCTTTTCCAACCTAGACGATTCTATGATTCTATGAATTCAGGTGCCGCGTATCCTCGGTGCAGGGACATCCCATCCTCAGGGCAGGTCGCATCTTCTTTAGATGCTATGCTTGCCATGAGGTCTCACGGTGCTTCACTGCCAGGTAAGAAGAATTGGATTACGCAGTGTTCTGATGGACCTGTTTAATGCCACCCCTTTCTTTTCGAAGAGCCAAATTGGTGGAGAGTATGGGGGTCAACCCCATATTCATCATAAGTCAACAGATAGGAAGGCACCTCGAAAGGAAGCAGAAGAGTGGGGATCCTTATGGGATGTCCTCACTCCAAGGAAAGCCTTTAAAAAAAAAAAAAAAAGACAAATATGTTCAGACTTGCATCAGAGGATCTTCAGCTGGTGTCGCTGGGTCTTCCCAGAAGGAAAATGTAATTTTATAAGCACCAGACAGCTCAGAACTTAATGCAGATAGCAGCAAAAACCCCAAGGTGCCACCCACAGCCAGCAGGTCAGCTGATACCACGTTATCCTGCAGGTTATTTTTTGTTAGGTTAAGTTTATTTTGGGGGACAAATTTCCGTGTTTTGGAAAGGATCCTTCATTTTAGTTTGGTCCCCGTATCTCAGCATCTCCCAAACGCTGCCCGATAAGTTAAGGTTTCTTTAGAGCTTCGATAAAGTGTAAAGCTGGGCCTTGGATGCTCCAGCTAAACAGCCTGGTGGGATGCTGGGGAACACTGGGACATGCTGAAATCTGTTTTGTTTCCCTTACATCCAAACAGAAGACAGACAGGAATTGCCATCTGCCATATCAGGACCACAAATATTGCAAGGGATGTTTCCCCACCTGCCTTACACTGCCCCCTCCAAGCCCCCGTGCTTCTCCTGGCTTGCCAGCAGCCTGCCGTGCGTCTTTACCCAGCAGAGCAAATGGCTTTTCTTAATTAAATCAAATTTTAAAAGATTTGCTGCTTTTGTCGCTAACGCAAGCGGCCTGCGGGGAGCGGGGACAGGTCTAAAGGTGCTTGAGCATCACTTGGGGTTGCCTCTCCCACCTGCAAGGTGAGCTGATGGCCACAGCCCTCCTTTGCAGGAGAGGAAACTGCTCAGCACTGTCCACCTTGATAAAATACTTACAGGCATCCATCATCTTCACCTTAATATTAAGGTCTGGACCATTGGTGGTGCTGCTTTTCTGGTCATTGCTTGGGGACACAGGCAGGGGACAGCAACGCTGTGCTATGAAATTAGATCCTCCAGCAATAAAATTCTGGGTTTGCCTGTCACATCTCGAGCAAAAAAAAGGTAAAAGGACAAAAATCTGGGGATGAGAGAAGGAAAAACATTGTTCTCCTCAGCTAGACGTACAGAGCCAGGTAGGTAGGTGGGGGGATACTGCTGTCTTAGGTGATTTAAGTGCTGGTTGAGTCCCATCAAGTCATGCCTTGACCAGTGGGAATACTCATCCGCTCTATGGCCTGGTGTAGGCAGCGTGGGAAGAGCCACTGCCGGGCTGGGTGGAGGATGCAGCCCCAGCTGTGGTCGATTAGCCAGGGGCTGGATGCTGGACTTGGTGGTCTTGGCTTTGTGGGTTTCATGGGACATCAGTAGATGCTGGTGGTACATCTCTTCCATGCTGAGGGATGCCCAGGGAGCAGCCGGTGCATCGTGAACGGGTGCTGACGTGCCGGGTGGACTGGCTATGCAGCTGTAAATCCTCACCCTAACTGGAACTGCTCTTCTCTTTGCCAGGGTACACTGCGGGGACTCCCTACAAGGTCCCACCGACCCAGAGTAACAACGCGCCTCCTCCCTACTCGCCGTCTCCAAATCCGTACCAAACTGCTATGTACCCCATCAGAAGTGCCTATCCACATTTCCCCCCGGGTGGCTCCCCCCCCCCCCGCCACGGCAGCTCCCTGCCTCACTCAACGGCGTGCAAATACACTCTGAGGTTGCCGCGGGGCTTCGTTCTTGGCTGTCAGGGCTGAGCACCCATGTCCTGGGGGGATGGAGGTGCTCATGATGGGGCTTGGTGGGATCCCTCTCCTGCTCAAGCAGGCTCACCCAGAGCAGGGCGCACAGGGCAGCGTCCAGGCAGGGGTTGAAGATCTCCAGAGAAGGAGACTCCACAGCCCCCCTGGGCAGCCTGAGCCAGCTCGGGCAC